ACACACACACAGGTACACACATGGGCACACACACAGGTACACACATGGGAACACACACACAGGTACACACACAGGCACACACACAGGTACACACACAGGCCCACACACACACACACAGGTACACACACGGGCACACACACATACACACATGGGCACACACACACACTCTCCTGTGGGTGTTGGTTTGCACACATGGAATTGCAAAAGACACGTTGCTCTACAGCTTGCTTCATCCTCCCAAACCTAACAGGGACACATCCTCCAGCTCGCCTGCGCTCCTGAGCTCCTGACGGCCCTGGCTGCAAAGCTAAGTGGTACAGAAGCGCCTGGAACCAGAATTTTAAGAAGACTTAAAATTCCGGCGCTGCAGCCGTGACCCACCACGCCATCCACACGGAGCACGCTGGGCCTGCTACCCACACTGCCCCTGCCGTGTGCCTCACCCAGGGCCGGAGCCACAGGCCGGGCCATTGGGCACCCTGGTTTGGAGCACCACCACCGCTGGGTCACCGACACCGCTGGGTCACCGTCACTGTTGTTGCTTGCACTTCACTGCAAAAACTTGAAGCCAAGAGCGCCTCACACTGCGGTCTTCAGTGCCTCCCTCAGCCTGGCTCCAGCCGTGCCCGTCCCAGGTGGAGGCCACTGAGCAGGGAAGGAGACGCTGTCCCTGCAACGTGGCAGCCGAGGATTCTGGAGGAGCTGCTCTCCAAGACAGGAGAGGAAAACAGAAGCACGATGGAGATCAGGAAACGGCGGAGCCTTTCACAGAGGCCTTGCCCAGCCGAGCCCAACGGGCAGCCCCTGTGTGGATGGGCACCTGTGGGAAGAGCCCCAGCTGGGAGTGTTACGGGTGCAGCCTTATGGCCCCTTTGTGGGGCAGACAGCCACTCACCTGCATGAAGTCTGCGGCATCCTGGGGTTGCCATGGGGCTCTTGGGCCCACTGCTTGTCCCACTGGCCCTACCACCGCCCGCGGGCACAGCTGTCCTCAATGCTGGCCTCCAGTCCACCATTTTCCAAGAACCCCGACCCAGGAGGTGCTCCTGCCACTGGCTGCCAGCCCTGACCCTCCCGCCTGAGGCCCTGCCAGGAACTGCAGGTCCCAGACCCAGAAGAGGATGCAGGGAAAAGCCTCCCATTGTCCCAGTGGAGGAAGCTGCCCGCAGGCCGAGGATGAGTCATGGATTCAAGGAGCCTCACGGCCAGGCCACGTGGGGGCCCTCCCCTGCCCTCCTCCTATATAAGGCCCCCAGCCCACTGCCTCAGCCTCCCTCTCGCTCCAGAGCTCAGAGCCACCCACAGCCGCAGCCATGAACTGCCTCCTGCTCACCCTGGCTGTCGCCCTCATCTGTGCCGTCGGGGCCATCGACAGTCCCCAGGCCATGCAGGATGTGGAGGTCCCAAAGGTTTGAGGCGGGGAGATCTGGGGTGGGTGGGGACTGCGGGAGTGTGGGAAGCCAGGATCCAGGACGCGGAGGGTGGACGGAGGAGGCTGTGATGTCAGGGCTCCTGTGAGCGGCGCAGGGCTGGCCTCCTGCAGGCTGCAGCCCAAACAGGGGGGCTGATGCTCACCATCCTGGGGGCTGGAGGTTCGGGATCAAGGTGTCGGCAGGGCCGGAGCCCCCAGGCTCCTCTCCTTGCCTTGTAGACGCCGTCTTCCCGCTGTGTCCTCACAGGGCCACCCCTCTGGGGGTCCGTTCCTAACCTCCCCCCCAAAGATGCCCATCAGATTGGGTCAGGGCCCCCAGTGGCCTCACTCCAGCTTCCTCCTTCCTTAACCACCCTAGCTCATGTTTAGAGGTGCTGCAGTCAGGTGCTGCTGGGGGGCACAGTTCAGCCCCAGCAGGGCCTCTCTGCCCCCCACCCTTCCTCCTGTCCCAACCACATGGCTCCCCAGGATCCAAATATTCCCCTCACTCAGGTCATGGGCTCAGCCAGGTGCTTTTTTGGGCTCCTGCGAGTTTAGCTGGAACATTCCTGGAGCAGCAGAGTGGGGTCCAGGGCTGGGGGAGCCCCCACCCATGGCATCAGGCCACATAGGTGCCTGAGGAGCTCAGCCCAACTCCTGCACCAACCCAAGGGGGCTGGGGACAGGCGGGACTCAGCCTCACCTGCCCAGGGCACAGTGGGAGCCATGGTGGCCAGGGTCCCCTGTGCAGCTCAAGGCCCCTCAGTTGGCAGGGATCTGGCACTCCATGGCCATGGGGGCCAGCGACTTCTCCCTCCTGGAGACCAAGGAGGCCCCCCTGAGGGTCTACATCACCTCGCTGCAGCCCACCCCCGAGGGCAACCTGGAGATCAGCCTGCGCAAATGGTGGGTTCCGCATCTTCGGGGCTGGGCCGGCGGGGGCTCCCCCTCCCTCAGTGGGGGGGCTGTGTGGGGTGGGCAGAGCTGGGGCCAGCCCCAGGCATTTCCTGAGGGCCCAGGGGCTTCAGTGTGGACCCTCGTGGTGCCAAGTAGGGTGGGGAAAGAAGCTTGGGAGGTTGCCTGTCCCCGCAGAACCCCCGCCCAAGGGCCTTGGGTCAGCAGCTGACCACAGCACGCAGCCCAGGCCGTCTTCGGAGAAGGCTGGTGTGGAGGCCGGGCTGGGGCTGCTGCGGTCTGTGGTCTCCGGGACCCGGGCAGTCCCTGTGATGACTGCCTGCCCCGGAACGAGGGGTGGGCAGGAGATGAGGACGTGAACCCCAGGACCACTGCCGCCCATGGTCACGGCCCCTGACTTCACTGGTCCCCTCTGGCCTCTCCAGCTGGGTCCCCGGCCACATGCTGTGGGTTCCCTGAGGGCCGCGTTTGTCCTGTGACCAGCACTCGTGGCCCGGAAGCCCTTCTCTCCTCAGTCCGCAGTGCCTGGCCCTTGCCCGCCTCTCCAGGACTGGCGTGTGGCCCCGTAGCATCTGTGCACACAGCTAACAGAAACGATGCCCTTTCAGGGAAAACGACCGGTGTGTTGAGAAGAAAATCGTCGCAGAGAAGACCGAGAACCCCATCGAGTTCAAGATCAACTGTAAGTGCCAGCCACGGCCCAGGCAGCTCGGGGACCCCGTCCAGCTTCCCGAGGGATGGGTGGGGGCTGGGCCTCTGGCCTGGCTGTGCTAAGGCACAGGCTGATGACGAAGGTGACGGCAGTGGCAGGGAGCAGCACCGCCTCCAGGTCCCCTCTGGGCTGGTCTAACTCCCTGCAGTGACACTGGGCCACTTGGGCTGAGCTCAGGCAGCAGCCATGCCCCTTAGCCAGCGGCGCCCCTCAGCCAGCGGTGCCCCTCAGCCAGCGGTGCCCCTCAGCCGCCAGCCTGTTCCCACCCTCCCTGTACCCTCCCCGGCTCCTGACTGCACCCCCCGGCCGACGGCTGAGAGTCAGGGCCCCTGTGGCCACCAGACCTGACTCATCTCCTTGACTCTGCGTTCATTCATCGCTACACGCAAGACTGCAGGGAGCCATGAGGGCTATTTCTCCCCGGCCTCCCCTCCCCAGCCTGGAGCAGGGAGCTCCCCAGGAGCTACATCCTACCTTCCGGTGCCCCCACGGTCCTCTCCGTGTGACTTCCCTCCACAGCTGCACACTGCAGCCACGGAGGCACCTTGGAAGGACGCCCATGCCAGGGCACCCGCCCGGGGTCTCTGGCACCCCTGCTTACGGCTGGGCAGGGACATCAGCATTTCCCACAGAAGCCACCCTGGTGACACAGCTGTGCCTGGTGGTGTCGCTGGGCTGAGTGGGCGGAGCCCACCTCGCTCGCCCGGCCCGAGGGTCTCGGCTTCCCCGCCGCTGTGGCATGTGGGGGTCTCTCCGGACCCGCCTTCGCTGCCACGCGAGTGGAGACCCCGTTTCTTAGCCTCACTGGGGCACAGCGGTGGGAGTGGCTTGCCCAGGCCTGATGATGAGGGGGGAATCCCGAGCCAGGGGACAGTGTGGGACAGTGGGCGTCTCCGTGGAGGGTCACAGTCAACAGCCAGGCCTCTCCCGGCCCCGTTTGCGCCTTGGCGTTACCTGTGAGCTGTGCTGGGAGCTCCCTGAGGGGAGGTCACACCACGCCAGGTACAGGGAAGACCGGCCCGAAGGACGCGTCCCTCACGGGAAGTCCGGCTGAACCACAGGAGACCGACCAGCACCCCTCCCGCTGCGGCGAGGTGCCCAGAATTCATTTCTGCTCCTGTCTTGTTCTCTTCTAGATCTGGATGAGAACAAGATCGTCCTATTCAACACCGACTATAGCAAGTACCTGTTCATCTGTTTGGAGAGCACCTCCCAGCAGAGCCTGGCCTGCCAGTACCTGGGTGCGCGGCTCAGTCCCTGGGGTTTCTGTGGGAAATGGACACAGAATGAGACGTCCCGACCACTCCTCACGGGAATGGAAGGCGGGCCCCCAAGGGAGCCGTCGCCCCAGCCCCGCCCCAGCCCCTGGGATTGCCTTCCCTAGGAGCCCAGGAGCCCCGTGGAAGAAGGGGGAGGGTCGAGGGGTCCTAGTGTCACCTGAGAAACAAGGGTGGCACTGCACACAGAGACCTGGGGACAGACACAGACCCTGAAGACGGCAGAGACCACTGTGGACACCGGGAAGGAGGTGTCCCTGCAGGGCGGCCGCAAGGGCAGGTGTTAGACCTCTCCGTGTGGTCAGCAGGTGCCTCTAAACCCAATGGCCTTCCTTGGTGGAGATTTGCGATTACTTTGCCAAATAAGAAGTCAGATACTAAAATGTCTTTCAAACAATCACGTCTGGAAAACAAATGTAAGGTGACATTTTTCATGTCACACCAGCAGTGCTGCTAGGAGGTCCCTGGGTCCCTGAATGGACCAATGGCTTTGGGCTGCAGAGATGCCCCCTGCTCTATAAATCAGCCATCCTGGGCCGTGGGGGGTGAGGCCGGCTCTGTGGGGGAGGCGGGCGCCGTGCTCTACTCCTTGACCCCGTGGACACCGTCCTGAGCTGTGCAGGCCCCAGCGCTGCCTAGCACAGAGGAGGAGCCACCCCAGCCAAGGAGCAGGGCCTGGGGACAGGGAACCTGCAGGCCAGGTGGTCAAAGCCCGGGAGCCCAGTCTGAGGACCTACTCCAGACCAAACTCTCCTGACCTCAGAGCACTGGGGCCTCCTTCCCCGCCCTCCTTCCCCTGGGGCAGGGCCCAGGACTGAGCCAGCCTCCCCACAGCCAGGACCCCGGAGGCGAACGACAAGGTCATGGAGGAATTCATCCACTTTCTCAAGACCCTGCCCGTGCACATGCAGATCTTCCTGGACGTGACCCAGGCAGACGGTGAGCTCCGCCCAGGACAGGCCCAGCCTCTGTTGGAGAGGCGCTGCTGTCCCAGCCCAAGCCCCCCGAGGGCTCTGTAACACTCAGGGCGGCTCCCCTCCCTCCTCAATGGCCTCACCGCAGTTCTCCCCATGCCTCCCCTGGGGGTGCAGAGGCACCCTGAGGTGCGCTCCCGTCCCCTCCTGTCACCCCACAACCTCTGGCCCTGGGGCTGCTGTGTCCCCAGCCGTCTCCCTCCCGCTGACGCCCCCACTGCCGTCTCTCCGCCTGCAGAGCGGTGCCGCGTCTAAGAGAACTCCCACCTGGTCCTGCCTCCTGGGTAATGTACCAGCCCTGCCCACGGCCTGGGGCTGACCCTGGGACAGACCCCACTGTGTCCGTTCCCCAGGGCTGACCCTGAGCAAGTGACTCTGGAATCCTGGGGTCTCTGAGAAAACCCAGCTGGCCACATGCCCGCGTCTCTAGGCTTGGCCTCTCCAGATGCCATTTCCTGTGTCCTGAGCACAGGCTGGGCCCCTTTCCTCCAGGGTGGGGGTAAGTGAGGGAGGGGGTCTCAGGGGAGGGTGGGCCTGGGTTGATGTCCCGACAGCCCCTCACGGGAATGGAAGGCAGGTGGTGAGGTAGGGGTTCCCCTCACACAAGCAGGGGTCCCTCACCCCCAGCTAATAGGGGCTGCCCCATACCCTGTAGCATCCCAGGGTCACAGGGGACCCCTCTTTGTACACATCAGGTCCCGGAGCCTCGACCCCTGTCCAGAGGAAGAAGACATCACACCTCCAGAGGGACCATGAGGCTGAAGACCAAGGAGCATTTCCTGGGACCCTGGGACTTCCCAGCCTCAGCCTGGGGTCTCTGTTCTCAGCCATCCCTTTTGAGCAATAAATAAACTAGTGAACCTGCTCCCCTGACTCTGTCCTGACTGGTGCATGTGGATGCAGCTGAGGGTAGGCTGGGGTTTGGGGGACTTGGGGGCTGGGAAACTCGGAGGTTGGGGGGCTTAGAGGCTGGGGGTCTCAGGGACTGGGGGGCTCAGAGGCTGGAGGACTCAGGGGCTAGGAGGCTCAGAGGCTGGGGGGCTCAGGTTGGGAGCTCAGGGGTTGGGGGACTCAGACGCTGAGGGTCTCAGGGATTGGGTGGCTCCTCGGCTGGGGGGCTCAGGGCCTGGGGGCAAGGGGACTGGGGGCTGAGGGAGCTGAGTTCATGGTTTCTTCGTTGTAGGTCCCATCATATTTGGGGATGAAGACACATCGCAGGGGCTTCAGAATTTTCAGGAACTAGATAAGCATGCTGCTGATGTGGCCAGAGCTTGCCTTTCATGTTGGAGGTCCAAGCCACACAAAGCACAAAATATGAGAAATCACAGACCCATGCATTGAATGAATATTGATATAAAAATTTAAATGAGTTACTTACAAATCAAATTCTGCAGTATTTAAAAAATGCAAACCCCATGACCTCCGGGCATCGCTCAGGAGCATAAGGGAAGTTGCTACCAGAAAGAACTTTGCTGTCCGTCTTCATCTGCTCACACATGCCATTGATCTCTTCTGGGCTAATGTGAAACAGAGATTTCCCCTGGACTGAGGACCTCAACAAAAGAGGTCAGATGCGGGAAAGGAACTCGTTTTTCATTATAAAATATTTTGAACGTCACAAAAGGAAAAAGAATATCCATCAACAGAAATAGATTTGTCAATAACAGTGACATGTACAACTTTAAATTTTCAAAATATAGATGGCATGGATACATTTCTGGTAAAATATCAATTACCAATATTGGCTCAAAATGTATAAGAAAACTTAGAACAATCATCATAGAAAAAAAAGAAAAAACCAGAATAGTTCCAGATCTTCTGCCTGTGGATGAGAATAAAAAACCTTTATCTGAGGGGTCAGGTGCGGTGGCTCACACCTGTAATCCCAGCACTTTGGGAGGCCGAGGTGGGTGGATCACGAGGTCAAGAGATCGAGACCATCCTGGTCAACATGGTGAAACCCCGTCTCTACTAAAAATACAAAAATTCAGCTGGGCATGGTGGCACGTGCCTGTAATCCCAGTGACTCAGGAGGCTGGGGCAGGAGAATTGCCTGAACCCAGGAGGCGGAGGTTGCGGTGAGCCGAGATCGCGCCATTGCACTCCAGCCTGGGTAACAAGAGCGAAACTCTGACTCAAAAAAAAAAAAAAAAAAAAAAACCTTTACCTGATAGCTCCTGGCTCAGGCAGTACACTCCAGCGCATAGAAGATGAGGGGCTGCTCAGCTGCCCTGATAACAAAGCTGGACAAGGAAGACGCAGGGCAAGGAGGAGGATAGCCACCAGCTTTCAGAACCAATACACAAAGATCTGAATGTCTTATTAGCAAATTGAATCTAACGAATGTATTTGACATGCCATGATTTAGCCCAAAAAAACAAAGGATGTTTCAAGATTAGAAAATGTATCGATAAAGGTCAGGTGCAGTGGCTCACACCTGTAATCCCAGCACTTTGGGAGGCTGAGGTAGGCAGATCACCTGAGGTCAGGAGTTTGAGACCAGCCTGGCCAACATGGTGAAACCCTTTCTCTAGTAAAAATACAAAAACGAGCTGGGCGTGGTGGTGTGCACCTGTCATCCTAGCTACTTGGGAGGCTGAGGCAGGAGAATTGCTGGAACCTGGGAGGCAGAGATTGCAGTGAGCTGTGATTGCACCACTGCACTCCAGCCTGGGTGACAAAGTGAGACGCCATCTCAAATGTATCAATAAAATTAACTAACTTAAGACAAGTGGAGAAGCACCAAATATGAACCTTTAATTAACTTTTTAAAATATGTTTCAAAAAATATTATATTCCATTCATGAAGGAAACTTTGCACACCAAGAATGTCATTCAATATCAAATAGCTTATGCTGCTTTTAGGAAGAACCCTAAAACACTAAGTGAATAAACCGATGGCTGAAAGCACCAAAGAGTTATTTATTTGTGTAGAATTTCCTTTGTGGGTTAGCAGGAGTGCTGACTTCTCATGGTCACTCGGCAACTCAAGTGATCACATAGCCACCAGCTGTCGTGTTGCCAGAGGGAAAACATAGGTATCAGGGGACCTCGAACTGTCCGTTAAGTGCCTATCCTGAAAAGGACACCTATTACCGCCCTAGAAGGGGGCTGAAAAGTCAAATCCTACCTAGGTGTCCTACCTAAGAATAGAAGGGAACTTCCCTAAACTGATTTAAAAAAAAAAAAAAAAAACTAACCTATAACTCGTGCTTTATGTAAGCATTCAGTCTAGCTAAGATTGAGAAAAAAGCAAGGTTGTCCTTTCTCATTGCTCTTATTCAACACATACTGAAAGTTTCAGTGCAATAAGGCAATTAAAAGAAACAAAACCCATACACATTAGAAAGGAAACATTGGCATCAGAAAGAAAAAGAGCAAGAAGACACAAATCGCTCGTATCAGGAATGAACGAGGAGACATCACTACTGACCCTACAAACATCGACATGATAATAAGGGAATACTGTGAGCAACTCTACACACGGAGATTTTACAACTTAGATGAAATGGACCAATTCTCTGAAAAATACGCTCTACCACAACTTATTCAATATGAACTAGATCACTTGAATAGCCCTTACGACTATTAAGGAAATTGAACTTTTAATTGAAAATCTACCATAAAGATATATCTTGGGGTGCAGATGGTGTCACAAGGTGTTTATACCAAATGCTTAAAGAATTTGCACTAATGCCACACAATCTGTTGCATAACATAGAAGAGGCAGTAACACGTCTTAATTCACTTTATGAAGCCAGTATTATTACCCTGACACCAAAATCGCATAAACCCAGTAATAAAGGGTGGGGGGTTAGAGTGACTGTAGCCTAGTGTTTCTCATTATTACAGATGTGACAATCCTTAACAAAATCTTAGCAAACAGATTTCGGCAGTATATAACAATAACTGTACACCATGAATAAGAAGGGTTTACACCAGGGAGGAGAGGTGGGTTCCACATTTAAAAATCAATTTCTGTAACCCACCATATTATCAGGCTAACAAAGAAAAAAACATAGGATCATATCAATCAATACAGAAAATGCGTTTCACAAAATTCAATATCTGCTCATATTTTTTTTCCAAAAACTCAGAAAAGTAAAACTAGAGAGGAGCTTCCTTAGCTTGATAAAGAACATCCACAAAAAAACTTACAATTAATACGATCCCCACCTGTGAACGACCGAACGCATTCCCTCGTGGTCAGTTCCAGTGGCCGTAACACAGCATGGCACACTGAGTTGCTTGAACAACAAACATCTATTTTTGCAGTTCTGGGAATGGCCGGAAAAGGAGCAGAGTGCCGGCAGATTTCACGTCTGTGGGGGGTCTCTTCCTGGTTTGCAGGTGGCCGCCTTCTTGCTGTATCCTCACGAGGTAGGGAGAAAAGTCTCATCTCTCCCCTTTTTATAACGGCATTTGGGAAATAAAAATGAAACTCTAAGCCCCCCACGGCTGAACAGACCCCTCTTGGCCAAGCAGACCACGAAATAACCTTGAAAACTGAGTTCTAATCCATCACAGGATGGGGGGTCAGACACTCCTCCTTATCACCCCGACCCCCTGTACACAGTCACTGCCATTAGACTTTTTTCCCTAAGGCTAATTAGAAACGAGCCCTTTCAAAAGACTCCACTGCTGGTATCAATCAAGCACCTGACGCTGCTTCTCCATTTTTTTTTTTTTTTTTTTTTTTGTTTCAATGCAATCGCTCAGCATTCCTTCCTAATTAGAGATCGCTGACCGCAGAGGGGCTCTGGCTGGTCTGCGCGGAACGGCATAAAGCTCCCTTGCTCATGCGTGTTTCTCCTTTCATAAATCTTCCTACAGCGTATTAAATAGGTACATTCAGCCACTCTACTGAGCATAAATTCCTGCTCCGTTTTCCTCTCTGTGGAAACCCCTGTTTCTGGCTTCTGGCCTAAGGCAACACTTCTCGGCCTGTCAGAATGGCCACCCTGCAGACTGAACCCCTTAGGAGAAATAAACTCTCCTTTCCAAATATACAGACCTCGTCATTCTTCAGTCGATATGATTGGTGATGAGGAAGAGCCTCAGGTTCTCCCAGCATGACTGGAAGTCAATGCACCGTCTTCAGCTCAGCTGTCTCCCCAGCTGGTCACACAGGGAGGAGGCCGGGTGAGGTCTCCGGGATCTGAGATCTCCTGCTTTTAGGTTCAAGACTTCAGAGACTTTTATTTCTCTCCACCCCGTTCCTTTATTTCTTCCTGTTTCCTTCCCAGTCCCTGTCC